ATATGTGGCTGGTCAAACCGTGTAGTCGGGATTACTTGGTCAGGAATTATATGGTTGGTCAAGGGTTACTCAATCAATTAGGGGTTACTCGGACGATCGGGGGTTACTCGGTCAGTGTTTGGGTGTGTCTTAGTCGGCCTTATGATATGGCTAGCCACCCAAAAGACGCGTTGATTTTATTTTTATAATTAAAATTTTTTGATCTAAAATAAATTGCAATTCTTTTTTTTTTCCATTGGCTAAAATATAACATTTTCCTATGTAACGGTCTAAAATTAATCTTACGTGGCATAATTCTATTGTAGTGTTTTAAAATTATCAATCTTACGTGGCGCTTTTTTTATTTTTATTATTATTATAATCCTACGTAGCGCTTTAAAAAAACTAATTTTACGTGGCATAATCCTATTGTAGCGTTATAAAATAATTAATCCTAAGTGGCGCTCTATATGACTTTAAAAATTAAAATCCTACGTGGTGCTCTAAAAACTCGGGAAAAAACTCCCCATATATATATATATATATAAAATATTGTTTCCATGTTGTCAACCAAAACCATTCACGAAATTTCTTAGAAATTTAGGAAAGGTTTTCATGAATTATTGAATATGAAACGTTTTTTTTTTATTCAAAGTATATTTTCGAGGAAAAATAAATTTGTAAATTAGTTTTTTTTTTTTCTTTTTTTTTTGCAAGAGAAGTATAGAGAAAGAGAAATTGATAGTGGAAGTGTGAGGATAAATAGGAGGAAAGAATAAGGAGAAAAAAAAAAAAAGTGGTTTTACTTTCTTTGGCAAAATGTTTTCCATCTTCAACAATTTATTTTCACAATTAAGAAAAATATTAAACAAGAATTTTTTTTTGAGAAAATAGAAAATTAATCTTCCTGAAAAATATTTTGCACCTAACTAAACACTCCCTATGTGTCTTCTTGAACATTAATACTTTTAGCCCGACACTTCTATAGTTCTAGTTGCATAACAATTTTGAATATAGTCAAGGCCAAAGTCTTATTATCAGCCCAAAGAAGACATATGTTAGAATACATGATGATGCTGAAGAAATAGAAAAGCATATTACATGCTGAGTTGGATTACACACGCATTATTCATGAGCAAAACAGATTGTACACATCAGCAAGTTTGTTACAAGTTAGTTACAACTTGTGATATATATTTAGCTGATCATCAAGGGTATTATTCATTCACATAGATTACATTTTCTGTAATTTTCTTTCTTCTTATATTGCTCCTTGTAATCCTCTCTTCTCTTCAATAATGAATGAATGAAGCAGTCCTTCTGCTCTTGGCTTCTTGCAGCCAACTTTTGACATGGTATCAGAGCATGGTTTACGATCTGGAGATGAAGAGTTTTTGATCATTTCTCAATGAGATCCTTTGTTTGAGGTATTTGTTTTCGATCAAATTATTGAAGTTTTTTTTTTCTTTTTTTTCTTCTGGTGATCAAATTGGTACAGATTCTTTGAAATTGTGTTCAAATCTTGCAATACAAGACTACAATCTGTAGAAGTTCAACATATTTTGTTCATTCATCTGAAATTTTTGCTCAATCAAGATCGTTGCTGTGTCTGAGGTCAGATTGTTTGCTGTTATTGAAATTGAAGTTGAATCTTGAATTTGTGATTGCATTTGTGTTATAAACATGGCAATGGATCCTTCACAGAATCCTACTTCACCATATTATTTGCATCCATCTGATAGTCCAGGTCAGAAACTAGTGAATTTTAAGTTTGATGGAAATATTTATGGTGATTGGAAGCGTTCAATGTTGATTAGCTTATCAGCAAAAAAAAAAGCTTGGATTTGTTGATGGAAGTTTGATTAGACCTGATATAACCAGTGATCTTTATTCTGCTTGGGAAAGATGCAACAACATGATCATCTCATGGCTGTTAGGTGTTCTTGAACAAGATATAGCAAGGAGTGTATTGTATTTTGGCACAGCTAGAGAGATATGGCAGAATTTAGAAGAGAGATATGGTCAATCTTCTGGTACATTGTTATTTTCTTTACAACAAGCATTATATGAAATTAAGCAAGATCAGGATAATATCTTAGGATTTTTCACCAAGATAAAGATTATTTGGGATCAATTAAATGCAATTGATCCAATTCCTATTTGTGATTGCACCAATTGCAACTGTGGAATTACTCAGAGGTTGCTCAAGTCACAACAGGACAGAAGATTGGTTGAGTTCTTGATGAAGTTAAATGATGGCTTTGAAATAGTTAGAGGAAGTATACTGATGCTAAATCCTTTACCTAACGTTTCACATGCTTACAGACTTCTTGTACAAGAAGAAAAACATAAGCAATTGAATCAGGTGCATAATACTTCCAGTGAACTTATGGCTTTTGCTGTGAACAATAGGAGGTACCTTGATCAAGATAGAGGCAAACAAGGTTATCACAATTACAAAAACAGTGAACAGAGAAAAGTCAACTATTACTGTGATCATTGCAAGATTCCAGGACACAGTGTGCAAAGATGCTATAAGCTTAAAGGCTACCCTCAGAATAACTATTCTGGCAAGGGCAAAAGATTAGCTGCAAGTGCAGAATTCATTGAACATGAAGAGAAAGAGAATCAGGGCAATGAAGTTACAATTTCTGGAGAACAATATGAGAAGTTTTTGAGATATCAACTAACTCAACAGAAAGCAGAAACGCAGTCACATATTTCAGGAGATACTATCATACACAGCAAATCTACACATGTGGCAGGTAAATTATGTTTCACTTCTCTAATTCATACTAAACGGATATTGGATAGTGGAGCTACAGACCATATGTGTTGTGACAGTTCCTTATTTGATGCTCTACACCAATATAATGGTACTGAAAACTCAATCACTATTCCTAATGGAAAACAAGCGAGAGTAACACATCTAGGAACTATAACACTGACAGTCACATAGTGTTAAATAATGTGCTATATGTTCCTGATTTTAGGTATAATTTGATTTCAATACCTAAATTGTGCAAAGACTTGGGTTGTCATGCTCTTTTTACTGATAATGAGTGTCATATTCAGGGCTCCTCACAGAAGCCAATTCTTCTTGGTAAGCTCAAAAATGGGTTATACTGTTTGGATGACACAGTGTTAAGAAAGGAAGGTGGTCAAAAATCTCTTGCTGCTGCTATTACACGTACCAATGATTCTAATAAAGTCAAGTTATGGCATCTTAGGTTGGGTCATATTCCTGTCAACAGATTACACCATGCTGTATCTGATGTCTGTAATAAAGATTGTGTACTTGATAGTTTTTGTCAAATATGTCCTGCTGCTAGACAGACTAGAAACTCTTTTCCCATTAGTAGTATTAAGTCTAAGGGACCATTTGAACTCTTACACATTGATGTATGGGGTCCTAATCCAAAACCTACTTACAATGGTTGTAAAATTTTTCTAACAATTGTTGATGATTTTAGTAGAATGACTTGGATCTTTTTAATGCATTATAAGTCAGATGTTGTTAAATTCTTTAAGAATTTTGTTCAATATGTGGAGACTCAGTTTGACAAAAATGTTAAAATGGTTAGAAGTGATAATGCTCTTGAGCTTTGTGAGGGAGAATTGAAGAGTTTCTTTCTTGAAAAGGGTATATCTCAACAGAGAAGCTGTGTAGATACACCACAACAGAATGGGGTGGTTGAGAGAAAACACAAACACCTTCTTGAAACTTCTAGAGCTTTATCCTTTCAAGCCAATCTTCCTATACAATTTTGGGGTGAATGTGTATTATATGTTGTTCATTTAATAAATAGAATGCCTCTTCAAGTCCTTGGAAATTGCTCACCATATGAAAAGGTGCTTGGAACAACACCTTCATTAGACCATTTGAGGGTTTTTGGCTGTCTGTGTTTTGTTTCAACCCCAAAACAGCATAGGACAAAGTTTGAACCAAGAGCAACACCTCATGTTTTCATTGGATATTCTTCATATCAAAAGGGTTATAAAGTGCTTCATCTAGAGTCAATGCAAATTTCTGTTTCTAGAGATGTCACTTTCCATGAAAAACATTTCCCTTACCATTTCTCAGCCAAAACACAGCACAAATTTTTCCTACCTATATCCACAGATTTTTTTTTTCTTTCTCTTATGATTTTCTTCCTATCATCATTAGGGAGAATGATAACCCTCATGTTCCTACATCAGTTTCCTCTCCTGACCCTTCTCTTGACTTGTCAGTAGATTCTTCCCTTTCTACTGACTTGTCTGATACAGCTACTGAGTGTCCTGTTCCTACAGTGAGAAAGAGTTCAAGACAATAAAAATTTCCTTCTCATTTTGACAATTACATTTGCAATATTAGTGAATCTTGCAGCACTGAGGCACACTGGTGTGGTCTTGTTCATTTCAACCACATCTCCTCATCAGTTCATGCCTTAGCTTCCATTGCAAAAGAGTTACAAGAGCCTACTTCTTACTCTCAGGCTATGCAGGATGACAGATGGGTTCAGGCTATGAATAATGAACTTCTTGCTTTACAGAAGAATAATACATGGGTTCTAGTTTCTCTCCCTCCTAATAAGAAGCCCATTGATTGCAAGTGGGTTTACAAAATCAAACTCAAGGCTGATGATTCTGTTGAAAAGTTCAAGGCAAGATTAGTGGCTAAGGGTTATAATCAAAAGTGGGGGATTGATTTTGATGAAGTTTTCTCACCAGTTGTGAAGATGGGGACTGTTAGATGTATTCTGGCTCTAGTTGCATTTAAAGGTTGGCAATTGCATCAATTGGATGTAAATAATGCATTCTTGCATGGTGACTTGACTGAAGAGGTGTATATGACAGCTCCTGAGGGTTTTCATAACCCAGAACACAGAGTTTGCAAACTTGTCAAATCATTGTATGGGCTTAAACAAGCTTCTAGACAATGGTTTGCCAAGTTAGTGGGGGAATTGAAGTCTATGGGTTATGAACAGTCTAAGAATGACTATTCCCTCTTTATTAAATAAACCCAGGACAACATCATCATGGCAGCAGTGTATATAGATGATATTATTGTGACAGGAAGTGATGAATTAGAGATCTGCAAATTAAAAGTCCACCTGGATGCTGTTTTCAGTATCAAAAATTTGGGGAAGCTTAGCTATTTTCTTGGAATGGAAATTGGATATATGGATACTGGTATAACTATGTCACAGAAGAAATTCACTAAAGAACTGTTGAAAGAAGCTGGTGTACAGGAAGACAAAACAGCAGTGACTCCTTTGCCTGTGAACCTTAAACTACAAGCAACAGAAGGAGAGCTTTATGATGATCCTAGCAAGTATAGATGCCTTGTTGGAAAGTTGAATTTTTTGACTCATACCAGACCAGATCTGTCATATACTGTGCAACATCTTAGTCAGTTATTGCAAGAACCTAGAATGCCTCATTTCAGGGCATTGCATCATACTTTGAAGTATATAAATGGAACAATAGGGCAAGGCATTTTACTAAGAAACTAATCCTACAAGCATTTTCAGACTCAGATTGGGGAGCTTGCCTAGATAGCAGAAGATCAATATCAGGCTATATTCTAATGTTGGGAAAGTCTCCTATAACTTGGAAGTCAAAGAAACAAGGAGTTGTGTCAAAGAGTTCCTCAGAAGCAGAGTATAGGGCTATGTCAGCAGCAGCAGGAGAGGTGGCATGGATTGTAAGATTACTTGAAGAACTAGGGGTTCAACAGTTGAAACCTGTCACTCTACATTGTGATAATCAAAGTGCCATTCATATTGCAAAGAATCCAGTGCATCATGAAAGAACAAAACACATTCAGATTGATGTGCATTTCACAAGAGATAAGGTATTAGAAGGTATAATTCATATTACATATTTGCCTACAAAGTCACAGATTGCAGATTTGTTTACAAAAGTTCTTCCTTCAAGGCAATTCAATGAGTTACTTTCCAAACTAGGCATGGTTAACACAATGCATAGTTTGAGTGGGGGTGTTAGAATACATGATGATGCTGAAGAAATAGAAAAGCATATTACATGCTGAGCTGGATTACGCATGCATTATTCATGAGCAAAACAGATTGTACACATCAGCAAGTTTGTTACAAGTTAGTTACAACTTGTGATATATATCATCAAGGATATTATTCATTCACATAGATTACATTTTCTGTAATTTTCTTTCTTCTTAGATTGCTCCTTGTAATCCTCTCTTCTCTTCAATAATGAATGAATGAAGCAGTCCTTCTGCTCTTGGCTTCTTGCAGCCAACTTTTGACAACATAGTTCATATAATTAGCCATTGAATTATTTCACATTTTATTCAAAAAAAGTTAAATAATTAGATTTGCTAGCCAAATTGCATCTCGTCTTTTGAATGATACTCATTAACACTTCAATATATACATTGATAACTTCATTCATATATAGTACAGTGTATATCTCAACTAATTACATCAACATTCTTCTATTTTTATTACAATAACTTGCGTATAAATCCGTAGTCCGTACATAAGAGAATGTAATCCAAAAATTCATAATTCCTACATAATCATTCGTACTATTTTTATGCAAGTAGTACACTTATTATCAAGTCATCATGAGGCAAGAGACTTAATTTCAATATTAAAAGTATGGTTCGTTCACATAGATAGTCAATAATAAGATGGTATGACTTTTTTGTCTCTAAAAACTTCTTGTTTTGACTTTTTGTGTGACAATCATTATCCAAACAAATAATTATTTAGAGATGTAAATAGTCCAATACTTGAATGACCCCATCTAGTTGCAAATATCTCTCTCGATTATGGCCCGACCCTAATTAAATTTATTATTTAATACACTTTATATGTAATAATGTATCACACAATATATACGGAGTAATATTTATAGATTAATTAATCGTGGTTTCATGAGCTGAGTAATTGGCGGATGTTCATAGGTGAAATGTCATTGATATCCCCATCCATGAGACGTTTGACAATTGCCAAATTAGTAGCTTCAGTTGGATGAAACATGTCCCAAAACACGTACTTTGATCTATCTTTGCAATATGTAGATGTTGGATTACAAAGAATCATTTGCCCGTAACGTCCACCCTCAGTGCAACATGCTTTATCGGCTACTTCAAAACCTGCCACATTCCATACCAGGCCAAACTAACATTAGAAACATCAAATTTAATTCATTGATACAATTCAAAACATAATTCACTTCTTAAGTTTAATCTTGCTTGTGGGTGTTTTGGTTGCGCAACTTCGTGGCATGTGCACTGACATTACCCTTGTTTGAGGTACGAGGTGTCAAAAAATGACTTGATCGACTCAAAATAAACCTGATTCAGATTTCGACTTGTATGAATACAATATTTTGCAAGACTCGACTTTGAAATAAACTAGACTCACCCAACTTAACCAAACCCAACCCTGGTGCCGAATTGACACCTCTTATTGTAGTATACTAGTACACTCGAGTACATATTATATAACACAGAGAAAATAATGTTGTTAGTTTATCTTTGAGTTTCAATTTACGCTACACTCAACAAATAAGGTAACTGTTATAACGGATGCAAGAAAGAACAAATATCGAATGTAAAATTGACAAGAAAAACACACACAGATTTACGTGGTTCACCAACAATGTGTTCGCTACGTCCACGGGCAGGCGAGAGTAATAGTTTTATTGATCTTGGGAAAACAGAATACAGATTCAGAACAGATTTGAGACCAATCACAGAAAACAGATTGATTGTCTCTCAGATCTCTAATGTTATCTTTCTCAGATCTTACAGATGAGAAATACACAAAAGACTCTCAGATTTTTTAATAACACTCAATGACACAATCATATTGCTACAAAACAACCCTAGGGGTATATATAACACTCCGGAATAAGATAGATAGACGCGTAGAAAACGCTGACCGCCTCACTACGTGCGCAACTCATGGAGTTGCGCGCGCCCGAGCTCTCGCTCGACCTAGCCGCACCTAAATACCTCTGCGAGCTATAGCTCTAATTTATTTGCAACCTTCAATCTTGCCAACGAACTACTGAGCTACCTCGCGAGCTACCGCTCACTACTCTAAGACCCGAAAACAGATTCAAGGCATATTTCTAACAGTAACTTCAAATTAATGTTAAACATAAATTAAAACTAAATTTACAACGTACCATAAGATAGGTAATTAGTGATGATGTCATTGAAAATGTGATAAGCATCAACATAAATGAATATTGATCCCTTAAGATTGCTGCTTAACTCTGTAAGAAGGTTCTTCAACCGAACATTATATAATTGAGCTATTTGATTAGGAGATGCAGCACAACTAGGATCTCCCACTTTTCCGTTCAATTATCACTCAGCAGGCGCACAGCCAATCGGTCCAACATTTGCCACTACTAATTTCCTTGCACCCATATTGAAGAGTCTCTGTTCCAAACCACATCGACTCATGTCAGCACTACATAATCTACCCCGAATAATTAATTAATAGTCTCATCGATAGTGTAATTTAAATACGTACTCCATAATATGAGACCTAATTCTGACAGAGTACCTACTACGTACTCCATAGAAGGATATTACAACGCACACAAATTTTTATATGTGGCTGGTTACACCGTATGGTCGGGCTGGAGTTACTTTAGTAACCCATGACCAACTGAGTAACTCCTTAATAAGTAACCCCAGCCACACAAAAAAAGCACCGTGTAGAATCATCGATTAGGTACCTAATTTCAAATATAAGTCAGAGGTTATGGTACGAATCTAACCGTAAGTTGTAGTCTTAATTTTGATATCATGTAATCTGTGAATTCTTCAGGAGATGGTGTCTTTGGTTGCCAAAATTCTTTGATTATATCTGGAACAAAGTAGTTGGCAATGAAATCATTGGAGCCAAAATTTACTGCAAAAAGAGCTTTATTCACAAGTTCCTCGGTTGCTGCTGCTCCTATAAGGGAGATTATATCATTCTTTGTGTTTGCAAAGTTATCCAGTTGCGCGTCAAAATTTATCCTCCCAATCTAATAACATGAGTAACTAACATTAGTCACATTAGTATACTTTCGTTGGGATATTACTCCGTACTTTAAGTGAATTTGGGTGAAAATAAGTAAAAGTAGAACAGCTAATTAAAAACGGAGAGAGTAGTAATTATTGAATACACTCTAAACATTCAACAAAGAGGGCGAAAAAGATCAGAATGGAGTTTTACTAATATTTGGCCAGTCTCGTTGAGAATTCCCGAACCAGAAGACGCATAGTTGACCCCTTGCAGAATCACAGGCCCTTTTGTGTATGGAGCCAAGTAAGGTGGGCTAACTTTTGTACCAAGTTCTTGGGCTAAATCCACCAAAACAATTAAAAATATTTAATCTTTCTTAAAAAAAAAAAAACTAAAGTTAACTTAAATAAGATTTACTACTATATAAATATAAATAGTTAAAATTTCAAAAAAAAAAAAAGTTATTTAATGTAGTATAAGACCCTGTTCACTCCACCTTATTTTTGTTGGACTGAAATTATTCATGCTGAATTCAAAATATTTTTTACTAAACTGAATTTATTTTTACTAATTCTATGTTATATTTCTTGTTTAAAGTTATTAATTCCTATTAAATATTACTTTCTTGTAAGGTGAAATAAACAGAGCATAACATATAACTTTAATTTCATAACTCGGGACATTAAATCTTGCCAGTAAATTAATAAATCTTGCCTAAGATGTCAAGCATGGTACGTCCGTTGCAAAATCTTCCCGTCGGCATACCGAAATCGATACCATTAGGAGGATAATCCGCCCTACTGAGAGTTACAATGTAGTTGTTGTTTCCCACATCAATTAATGAATCTCCAAACGCAAAAATTGCTATTTTAGCATTTGGTCCATTACTAATTATACAATTGCAATTGCTAAGCATACTTATAGAAATAATCATCATTAAAATGAGTGTCCTTTGTTTATTTCGAAAATTACCCATTTATTTAACCTAGAAGAATGAGGTAAAATCAAATGTAGTAGGTGATGAATATCAAATTTTGGTAAGAAGAAATTTTTTGAGAAATGAATGAAAATAGTTATATGGGAGAAAGTGATTTAGAAAAAAGCTTGTAAATAAATGAATTTAAAGAAAAAGGCATTAAATATTAATTTGAATGCCACCCCTGCAATTGGACACAAACAGATGATTTTGATAAGAATAAACATCCTAAATTTACTAATAATGTTCATATCAATGTTAAGTTGTTTGTCTCATAGGATAGACTTGGACTTAATTAGTCTTTTTCTTCTTCTTAGATTACTGTAATTATCTTCTCAGCCTTCTGTAATTATCTTTAATTAGATTTATATACTTAATTAGGTTGTTATTGAATTTTCAAACGTTACCAAATTCGAGATGATAAAAACAAATGGATAAAATGGAGTAAAATATAGGAAAGGGAAGGAGAGGGGGAGGAAAAGGAAATATTTCAATAGTGTTCAAAATTATGCGTATTTACATGTTCAATGTTTGCAAAATGGAGAAAAATACAATAGAAAGCAATTGTTATAGGTTTGTTGAAGGAAAATCATAAAAGGGTGAATAGGATACACAGTTTTTAATATAAAATTGTAAGTTTAATTTATGTAATTAAAACAAGACGAGTAACTTGTAAACAACCTAGCTATCTATATTTTGTTGTTTTCCTTGTCATTTATTCTAAATAATATAATACAAAAACTTATAAATCCTACTCAAATCATTTTCTTCCCAAGGAAACATACATAATAACCAATTCATCACCAAGACTGAATAGCACTTACATTATTTCCATATCATCAAAAGAATGGATGGATCATAAAGATACAAAAATTAATTAAGGAATTTATAATTTTAAATGGCCCTAGCTAGCTATCCTCGAGGACCCTTATTAATTACTTCATAATTTATAAACTATTTACTACACTATGTAAAAGTGTATCATCTAGCTAGAACTCCGATCCAATCGTTCTATAAAATTTATCTCACTTTTCGTTTAGAGTTTTAAGAGTTAACCAATGAACGGATGTTAATAGGTGAAATATAATTGATATCCCCATCAATCAGACGATTGGCAAACAATACTTTGGCAGCTTCAGATGGATGATAAGGATCCCAAAACACATACTTAGACCTATTACTACAATACTTAGATGTCGGACCACATGGAATTAAACCTCCGAAACGTCCACCCACATAGCAACATGCTGAATTTGCATTCTCAAAACCTGCCACCAATACCATACATAAGTTACAAATTTTAGGTACACCCAAGTGCAGTTTTAAAACTATACTATACATACTCGCAACAATTAAGTGAGTCAATGATTGAAATTAAAATAATTTATGAGACCGTTTAATTTAAAAAGCTTATCATAACTTTGGTAATTATCGAGGACATCACTAACGATTTTGTAAGCATCTGCATAAACGAACTTAGATCCCTCGAGGTTGTTGCTTAGTTCTGTAAATATGATTGAGCTAATTGATTAGAGAATGCAACACAATCATCTCCCATTGATGGGTTCGTATCCCTCTCGAAAGGTATGCAACCAATTGGTGTAACATTTGCTACTACTATCTTCCTTGCTCCCATATTGTAAAGTCTCTGTTCAAAACCACATGAACCCTAACAGCTTATTATTTACAGTAATGTAATTGTCTAGGGACATGAAAATTCTATAGTGGTCGGTGAAATATGACTACTATAATGTTTTAATGACTATATAGTTTATAATTGACTTATTTTTCTCTAAGTAATTAATTATATTACTTTATTTTTTGTATAAAATATTATTATCAACATTTTTTTAATATATCAAAATTTTAGTTTTATTTATGTAGTTTTTAATTCTTATTTTATAGTTTCTCAAAAAATATATATTTTCCGTTGGATTAAAATTTTCAAAAATTATATTAAAATATTAATCTCGTCCATTTTATAGTGTGAAAAAATGGACAAGCGAATATGTCATATACTTTGAAATATTACTTCTTCGTTTTTTAAATTCTATATATATATATATATATATATTTCCAATTATTGTCAATATTTTACTTTGACAATACTTATTATCCTCAAGATAGTCATATTATCTTACCATAAGCTGTATATTGTATTTTGATATCATAGCGCCTATAAAAGCATCAGGAGACACCAACTTCTGCTCTAGTTTTGAAACTATTGGAGTTAAGTAATTGTCGAGGAAGTCGTTGGCACCCATATTGGCCATATTTACTGTAAACAAGGCTTTATTAGTTTATTTATAAGCTCATTTGCTGCTTCTTCTCCTATACTATAGATAATATCTTGCTTTGTGTTTGCAAAGTTATCCAATTGTGTGTCAAAATTCAATCTCCCACCCTGAAACATACCACATTATCACGTTAGCACTATGCAGTATACACAATCATTATATTACGGCCATGTAGGAAAAAAAAAGTTGTCACATTACTTTATTTCTTTTTTTAATAAAAAGTTGTCACATTACTTAAAATAATATAAATGTATAGAGTGATTTTTTTATTCGTTATTGTGACGATTATGAGATATAATAGAAAGAAAAAAAAAAGACTTACAAAAATGGCGCCGGTATGTTGAGAATGCTACCACCACCAGAAGCATAATTGACTCCTTGCATAATCACATTCCCTTTTGTGCTTGGAGCCAAGTATGGTGGGCTAAATCCTGCTAATCCCAGCTGCTGCGCTAAATTCACATAATAATAAATAAATAAATAAATTCGACTCAGATAAGCATGTTGTTGTCGACAAACTAGAAAATATGTGACGCTTTTACGCACACACATGAGCCCATATTGCACTATGCACGATAATAAAGTAACATAAGTGGAGAACGTAGTAATGATGCAGATGAGATTTCACCAATACATGAACTATTATTTGAACATTTTAAAATACCAAATTTAGCATATGATATGTGTTTTTCCTTTTCAAGTCAATGATATGGTATAAAAGAGAGCCTTAATTTCCTGCATATTCTTCCTAAAATAAACAAGTAAAGATTAGGAGAACGAAAGCCAAGTGGTTTTTATCGAGAGAGCCCAGTTCCTCATTATGAAAAACACTTTTGTTTCTCATCATAATATTTTGGAAAATAATGTGATGTTTTTCACTGGTGGGGACCGCATATGTGTCATAACTCATAAGTGGGAGCCCCAAATCTTGATATATACCCCATGAGAAACAAAACTTGTTTCTTACAATAAGAAACAGAGAATTTCCCGTTTTTATCATTACTTCTTTTTGGAAAAAAAAAAAGCCAAGTCTCAAAAACAGAAAACAGAGTACTAAAAACTACAAGTTCATTATTTGTGGAGTATGTAGAACTTGCCTATGATATCAACAATGGTACGTCCATTGGTGTATCTTCCCGTCGGCCTTCCGAAATGGATACCATTCGGCACGTAATTCGCCTTCGATAACGATATAATGTATTTGTTATTTCCTGCATCTACAAGTGAATCTCCGAACACAAAACTCGCTATTGTTCCCTCTACTCCATTTCGACTAAGCATACTTAAAGACATGATCATCGATAAGATAAGCGCTTGTTGATTATTCAAATGAAAACCCATTTTTATTACTTCGTATATCACAAGATTAAAGGAAAACTAAGTTTGGTTTTGAGTTTTTTGACAATTGAATGATGATAAGCTAATAATGTTAAAGACATTTACATAGGAGGAAAAAAAAAAAGTTCGAGTGAATTGTATCACTAGATTAAAGGCGTTGAATGCTACCCTACAAAATCTAACTCCCAACCCCGTGACAGTGACACATTTGGGGAAAGAGTTATTAGTCTGCTTGATTATTATTGATCAATACTTCCCAGTGTTTTGATAAGTGTTACACTTATCAAATACGACCATATTTTAATAAGTGTTGCATTTCTTTTATTTTTATTTTTTTTAGCAAAAAGCTATTTTCTGTGTTTATTTATTTATTTTTATAGTTGCAACAGTTTGACTTTTACACTATTCATGCGTTTCACTTTGACTAGCTTTGATGATATATACTTAAGCAAAAATATAGTAATGTGGGATCTTAGATTCGTCTCGACTTATACTATTTTAATATCAAATGTTTATAACTTTTACTTATTGGTAATTAAAAATATTAACGATTGAAATCATTCATCGACAAGCACAAAAAGAGAAGTTTTGCAACTATAAAAAACAGAACATTTTAATAATATATCCTTCTTCTTTCATGGTCCTCACCCAAACCCACTACTAATTTTCTTTTATTTATTTTTATTATTATTATTGTTATTTTTTTTTACTTACTATCTAAATTGTCTAAACTATGTGCCGGTCAAAGTGTAACACTTATTAAAAAACACAAAGAGAGTATGTAGATTATTTATACGTACAAAACCTACGCTCATAAGATAGAAAACAATTTTCCTAAAAGATACACCGTCATAACTCATAACCATATATCCAAAAGATATATTCATTACACAATATCTTAACATAAATAATCCTAAACATATTATTCTCCTAATAATATCAATACGAAAAATATTAACATATATATTTCTAAAATGTCTTATCTCTAATACCCTCCCACAATTGTAACAGCAGTAACACAAATGTTGCGATTGGAATTTCTTTCACTTTGTTGAAGCCCAGATGCACTACTCTATCTTGTGTCGCCTTCATTTTTTTTAATGACAAGAACGTTCCGCTTTCCGAATCCATCAATCATCAACCAATCCGTCATTCTTTTCGAACCTGTAAATATTATATAATCTCACGATACAAGGAGAACCTATATATAAATACACTGTCTCACTGTACAAGGAGAACCAATATTTCCAATCTCATGACATAAGGCGAATTACAAATATCTTGTCTTACGACACAAGAGAGCCGATTTTTTTTTTTTAAAAAAAAAAAAAAATCTTAGATTGATGTCTTTGTTTTCATCTTTGCCTGAAGACACCATCAACCACTAGCAATGAACCGCTCATGTTTTTCATCGACACTAAACAATATCAAAGATCCCTAAAAAACATTAATATGGCGAAAGGTTTTTTTTTTTTTTTTCATTCTATATTTTTTGCTAAAGGTTCATCTATCCCAGTGGGTTTAGCAGGGGAAATTTTTGTAAACAATCCCAAGATTTAACCTGCTCTTGATATTATAACACATTTGGAAAAAGAGAATAATTTTAAAAGTAAATTTGTACATATTAATGATAAGGGTAACATATAAATGCACATTTTAAAAGATATAATTGACAACACACTATTTATAAAAATAATCTTGTATTTTTTATAAGGTGGGATAGTAATATTCTCGTCATCTCGTGAAATGTTGTATCAATAATTATTATTTCACCTTTGTACATATGGACATATGGTAGGATTGCTAGGAGGTATCTTGACCACTTTGTACAAAAATTTAGCCTTTTTTTTTTTTTTTTTCCTGAGATAAACACACTCTACATTTCTCTTTCGTAGCTATAACTCCGATCCATTTTTTAAGAGCACAGCCTAATTTTTGTTGACTCATGAGGCCTTGACCCCTTAGTTTAAAGATCATAGTGTATTGTTAGCTGATCTTGCGAATGCATCTTCGTTTCTCATCCTTTAATAGTCACCATTGTTGGTGTGTGTATATACTCTATTTTGTGGCCGCACTATTTTTGTAGAGCTCATATCACATATCTGCCCACGCGTTTAAATGATTTGCTAACTACAGTTTCATAAAGTTAGGCACAAGACAGGCCATACGGCCTATGTGACATGTTAGTGTGTTTCGTTCTTATTTAGACCATAGTTGAATGAGCTAATTAAGGAAAGTATATTCTTATATTGTTAATCTAATATTTAATTTGATTTCGATTTAGGGAAATTATCTTTGGTAACACTCCATTTTTAATTTTTCTTTTTGGTAAATTGTAAAAACTTATTATCATTAGTAATCATGATTTTTTTATTCAAAGTTAAACATAACATTATTAATAAAATAAACTAAGTATTTAACTGTAGTTGGGATATATATATATATATATATATATATATATATATATATTTACATTAAAATTATATTATTAGAAATAATTTTTTTTTAAATACCCTCTTTTCCTACTAGCCAGCCAGCCAGCCATCCCCACCCCACCCCGGCCGCCAGCAACCCAGGCCCCCTCCTTCGCCGGCGCCCCGCCACTAACTTCCCCCTAATAATATCAATACGGAAAATATATCAAACATATATTTTCCAATATCTCATATCTCTAATCGAAAGTTATCCCAACAAATGCAATTGGACACTAGCAGCAGATACAATATGATGAAAATTAAATACTACTTCCATTTCATAATATTTGCAACAATTGGACTTTTTTTTTTTTTTTATAATTCATACTTTATATCAAAGCGTTGTAAATAATATGAAACAGGGATAATATATAAAAGGTTGGCATATAATATACATACATGAATTTTATATAACTATATAAATATTGTATGAAGTACATACGATTTGCTAGAACATATATACCAAGTACTTTCTAGCTAAGTAGTTAACAGAATATACATGAACTTACTAAAGATATTAATAAATTGATTTTGGTTTAAATATTTTTAAATGCACCGACCAACTAAAATAGTTACTGATGATCATCGACTGGCTAATTCTGACGCTCATCTTGTTGCGGGAGATTGCTAGTAGGCCTGCGGGTTTTCTTCTTTTATTTGATTTTACATGGAGACTTATTAGCATAGGTAACAGTCTAACTGTCTAAAAGATATAGACATTGTTGGATCCGAATTTAATTGACCTGAATAATTTATCCCAGGTTGTTCAACTATAATCAATTGTCGCATTGTTCCAAGCTTTCAACCAATCCCTCAACACTTTATCCAATCCATATTATCTAGTTCTCTGATTTTTCTTCTTCATGTACCCTATTTCAATCATTTTTACATCTAGGGGTGTAACTGATTCAATACGTTTGTGAACAATTAGGGGCCGTTTGGTTCATCAAAGGGAAAGGGACTGACTAAAACAAAGGGAAAGGAGAAGAATAGAATGCAACTCCCTTTAATTTGCAATGTTGTTTGTTTTAAATAACAAAGGGAATGAGAGCCACCACACATACAACCATGAACCACCTACCTCTTTGGTTCTGTTTCTCTTTTTTTCGAACACTTTGAAGATCCCCCACCACCCACCTTGGTCACCTACCCCACCGCCTCCCCACGCCGCCCCTTCCCCCACCCTAGGCCCAAGCTAGACACGCCTCCTTGTCGCCGCAAACCACCGGAAAAGATCTCCCCTTCCTCATTAAACTTCCCCCAGCCCCGAAATACCCTAAAACCCCCCTCTCCAACCGTTGGGTGGTGTTTTCGTGGTGGATTGGGCGTATTGAAGGTGATGAGATTGAAGGGCTGACGATCGAGAAGAAGGATCCGTGTCAGGGGAGGGGCAACGATCCTCCGGCAATGGTCGAGGGAAGGATGTCGTGAGTCTCGTGACACGGATCCTCCGGCAATGGTCGAGGGAAGGATTTTCGGGTGAGAGGAGGGGCGACGAGCTTCCGGTGAGGGGCAACGAGGGTCGGGGGAGGCCGGCGATGTTCCGGTGAGGGGCGGCGAGTTCCGGCGAAAAGTGAGTGAGGTCCGGTGAGGTTGGTTGGGCAGTGGTGTCGGTGGGCAGTTGGTGTTTCGAGGGTGGTCAAGGTAGTTAAAAGGTTGGTCAAGGTAGTTGGGTGAAGAGGAGTTTGGGGGTTAGGGTGATTCCCTTGGGGGGTGGGGGTGGGTGGGGAATGAAAGTAAAGGGAAATGGGGTAATGGGAGGGGTAAAGGGAATGATTGAATTTGCCTATCAAACATCAACAAAGGGAATCATGACAGTTGATTCCCTTTCCCTTTGTTGAATACCCCCAACCAAACGGCCCCTTAGTGAACAAGCATGGTGAAAGCTTAATTGGTCGTTAAGGACATAATTATGCTTGAACATCTTGATGTTCTAATTTTTTTGAGCTTATGAACTGCTCCTTTCATGTTCATCTATTAGTTCTTTTATGATCATGTAAAATTTGTTCAAACTCGAACATGTTAACTTTCAAAGAAGATTTAGCATGTACTGTGTAAAGCTTGTTTGGCGATTTAAATCTTGAACCGTTCTTATTATAAGTTCATTAGAGCTTAAATTTAAACAAGCGAAGCTCTATTTCTAAAGTATCACATTGACAAATGTTTTGGCTAGGTTTAAGGTGTCGAGCTATTAGCTATATATGTACAGCCCAAAAAAAAAAAAAAAATTGTATGAAAGTTCATAGAAGTAAACTAAATTGTTGCATCCCCCAATATTTTGTTGTTTTCTTTGACATTTATTCCAAATAATATAATATAAAAACTTATAAATTCTACTCGTATCATTTTCTTTCCAAGGAAACATACATAATTACCAATAGCACTTATATTTCAATATCATCAAAAAAATGAATCATAAAGATACAAAAATTAGCCCTAACTAGCTTTCCTTAAGGACCCTAATTGGCTAATTACTTCATGCTTAAAATATTTACTAATCTAAGTGAGCTTCGTGTATTATCTTATTTATCTAATACTCATTTCATGAAATTCTTCCTACTTTTGAGTTTCCGTATAGAGTTTCAAGAGTTGACTAGTTGGCGGATGTTAATTGGTGAAACATCATTGATATCCCCATCAATCAGACGATTGGCAAACAGCACATTAGCAGCATCAGATGGATGATATGGATCCCAAAACACATACTTTGACCTATCACTGCAATACTTAGATGTCGGACCACATGGAATTAAACCTCCAAAACGCCCACCCGCATAGCAACATGCTGAATTTGCATTTTCAAAACCTGCCACCATACATAAGTCACAAATTTAAGGTACACCCGAGTATATATACTCGCAACAAGTGAGTCAATGATCGAAGTCAAAAAATAATTTATGAGATCGTTTAATTTAATTAAAAAGCTTACCATAACTTTGGTAATTAGCGAGGACATCACTAACGATGTTGTAAGCATCTCCATAAACGAACTTAGATCCCTCGAGGTTGTTGCTTAGTTCTGTAATTAAGCTCTTCAATCGGAGATTAAATGATTGAGCTAATTGATTAGGGAGTGCAACACAATCATCTCCAGTTGATGGGTTCGTATCCCTCTCGTAAGGTATGCAACCAATTGGTCCAACATTTACTACTACTATCTTCCTTGCTCCCATATTGTAAAGTCTCTGTTCAAAACCACATGAACCAAAATCAGCTTATTTATTTAAGTTATTGTCTAGGAACAATGTACTAGTCCATCATTCGGAATTCATTGCCATAAATAACGTATGTGAAGTAGTAACGTGACAACTAAATTTGAGTTTTAGACACATAAGTAGAATATAAATTTAAACATTTTTAATTCTTTACATTTACTATTTTGAAGTGTGGTGGTTTTGTAATAAAGATGGTACGTCTTTCAACGTGACAGCTTATACGTGACAGCTTATTGACGAAGGATGTTTACTAATTATTATGATCTTCTACTAACAGAAGTGTGTCATCATTATAAATGGTTAGTTCAATAAAAAAAAAATGTAACCCTAATAAGGATGTACTAAACAATAATCAACATACACATTAATAAGTGAACATGTCATATAATTTGAAATTAATTAATACAAAAAAAAATACTTCTTCCGTTTTTGTAAGCTTTGTCATTTGTTTTTTCATTTTTGTCAATTTCATTTCAATAATACTTATTATCTTCGAGATAATCATATATCTTACCGTAAGTTGTATACTGTATTTTGATATCATAGCACCTACAAAAGAATCAGGTGACACCAACTCCTGCTCTAGTTTAGAAAATATTGGAGTTAAGTAATTGTTGATGAAGTCATTGGAACCCATTGTTACTGAAAACAAGGCTTTATTAATAAGCTCATTTGCTGCTGCTTCTCCTATACTGTCGATAATATCTTGCTTTGTGTTTGCAAAGTTATCCAATTGCGCGTCAAAATTCAATCTCCCACCCTGAAACATATCACATTATCACGTTAAGAGAAAATACAAGTATATCACCTTAATAAGCAAATTTATAATCTAGCAATTAATACACGCAACCATAATATTACAATGTAGAATAGTAGAAAAAAGTTGTCACATTTTTAAAATTAATATGTAGAGTGATTTTTAAAATTTTTTTGTTTTTGATGATTATGAGATCGTTAATTTTGTATGAGATTAAGTAGAAAGACAAAAAGAGGTCTTACAAAAATGGCGCCAGTATGGTTGAGAATGCCACCACCACCAGAAGCATAATTAACTCCTTGCATAATCACACTCCCTTTTGTGCTTGGAGCCAAGTATGGTGGGCTAAATCCTCCTGCTAATCCCAGCTGCTGGCCTAAATTCACATAATAATAAATAAATAAATAAATAATAAATAGAAAGAAATTTCATAACTATAAACTTAATGACATTTTTAATAAGGGGTAGCTAGTGGGAAATAGCAAGAAAATATGTAACGCTTTTAATCACACATGTGCCCATATTGTACTATGCACGAAAATAAAGTAACATAAGTAGAGAACATGACGATGATGCAGATGAGATTTTGTCGTTATACAATTTGAGGAATTTATAAAATGAGGAATTATAAATTTAGCATATGATATGTTTTTTTCCTTTTCAAGTCAATGATATATGGTATACATTTATACTAGGATAGCCTTAAATTCCTGCACATTCTTCCTAAAAATACGTGAAGATTTGGAGAAATGAAAGCCAAGTGGTTTTTGTCATTACTTCTTTAGGGAAAAAAAAAAGCCGACTCATAAAAACAGAGGAAAAACAGTATGTAGAACTTGCCTATGATATCAACAATGGTACGTCCATTGGTGTATCTTCCCGTCGGCCTTCCGAAATCGATACCATTAGGCACGTAATTCGCCTTTGATAACGATATAATGTAGTTGTTATTTCCTGCATCTACAAGTGAATCTCCGAACACAAAACTTGATATTGTTCCCTCAACTCCATTTCGACTCAGTATACTTAAAGAAACGATCATCGATAAAATAAGGGCTTGTTTATTCGAATGAATACCCATTTTTGTTATATCACAAGATCGAAGGAAAACTAAGTGAGTTTTTTGACAATTGAATGATGATAAGTTAATAATGTTAAGATATTTATATAGGAGAAAAAAAAAAGTTTGAGTGAATTTTTTTTTTTTTAAAAAAGTAATAATGGCATTGAATGCTACCCTGCAAAATCTAACTCCCAACCCCGTGAAAGTCATCCCAACAAATGCAATTGGGCATTAACAGAAGATACAATATGAATATATGATGAAAATTAAATATTAAAGGTTGGCAATTGGCATATAATATACACGAATATTTATTTTTATATTAGTATAATTATATATATACAGTATGATTTACTAGAACATACTTGCTAGCTAAGTAGCTAACAGAATATACATGAACTTACTAAAGATATTACTCGTAATAAATTGATTTTGGTTTAAATATATTTTTTATGTACCGACCAACTAACATAGTTACTGATGATCATCAACTGGCTAATTCTGACGTTCATCTTGCGCAGGAGATTGCTTGTTGGCCTGTGGGTTTTCTTCTTTGATTTCTTACATGGAGACTTAGCATAGGTAACAGTCTAACTGTCTAAGAGATAAAGACGTAATTCGATCCAAATTTGACCGGAATAATATATCCTAAGTTGTCGCATTGTTCCAACCAGTCGCTCAATTCTTTATCCATACTCTAGCTCTCTGATTTTTTTTCATCGTTTTCCCTCTTTTCAATCATTTTTACACCTAGGGGTGTAAATGATCCAATACATTTGTGAACGATTAGTGAACAAGCATGGTGAAAGCTTAATTGGCCGTTAAGTACACAATTAAGCTTGAACATCTTGATGTTCTAATTTTTTGAGCTTATGAACAGCTCCATTCATGTTCATTTATAAGTTCTTTTATGATTATGAAAAATTTGTTCAAACTTGAACATGTTAACTTTTAAAGAAGAATTAATTAGCATGGGTAAAGCTTGTTTGTCGATATAAATCTTGAATCGTTCTTCTAATAAGTTTGAGCTCAAATTTAAACAAGTGAAGCTCGATTTCTGAAGTATCACATTGACATATATATATTTTTAGCTAAGTTTAATGTCGAGCCATTAGCTATATATGTACAACCCAATTGTTTATTTTTATTTTTTTTGCATGAAAGTTCATAAAAGTAAACTAAATTGTTGTAGTCTTGAGTATACTACACTACTACTACTGCACAGTCTAGTGTATACTCTATAATACTGTAGTAGAATTATTGGGATGACAATAAATTTCATGAATATCTCCAGTTGTAGGAGTTAAGTCGGAGTGAAGAGACTGATAATTTTCTTAAATTGGACCTACCAAACAATTATTTATTTTTCCAATTATATCTACTCGTATATTTCTATTTTAATGATCTGTTGTGTTTGCCCATGCATTTTCCAATTATATGACTATATGAGTGAATTATTAAGGTTATTATATTGGTCAATTTTTACAGCTCTACATACTGCAATATTCTTTACAAAACAACAAACTATGGAAATTAATGCATTATTGAGAAGAATGCTGTACACATTTTCTGCCATGTAAAATCATTTAGATTATTCATACCTTTTATTTTTATTTTTATTTTAATGCGGAGTACAGGATAAAATAAGTGCATGATTTTATTTTATCTTTGGAGGTTAAATACTGTAGACCTGTAGTACTTACTTACTCAACAACCAGCAACTACTTTGGTAAGAAATTCATAATATTGTAACAATAATGTTTATGACCCTACTCTATGCTATAACAATTTAAAAGTTAAATGTACGAGTAATTATTTATAAATAAGTTTTTTTTTTTTTTTTTTGGGTAAATATTTATAAATAAGGTGTTATGGCGGCTTTGGTAAGTGCGAATAACTATTGATTCGTACAGTGCACCAAAAGTTAGAGATTGAGTAGTCACCGTACCCACAAATGACAAATAAATACACGCCGACATCTAATCTTAGGGTTTGTTTTTTAATACCTCTAACACTTTGACCAACTAAGCTCAGATACTACCAAATGCTATTGCTTCTCGGCCATGTCATATTCATCAAGATGAATACAAGGTTAGATTGGTATTTCCTGTCAATATATATAAGCTTGCAAAATTTTCCGTACTCCAGTATTTACAACACCCTTTTGAGACTAATTACAGAGCTGAATCAATAGATAAAGCTATATGGTCCCCAGAATAGCATCCACAAAACAAATGAAACATATTCAGCATCACCCGAAATTAAATGATTGATGCTATATCCTTTCACAAAATTAATAATTCGATTTTGGCAGTATGTTAATCTGGGTTTCACTGGAGTGATGAATGATCAGCATAGAGCTTTCTCTTTGAGCTCTGCAATAGGAACATAGACCACCTGTTGTTTACTCGAGCTAGAGTCGTCTGATTCATTGTTTATGACCATCTGAATAGTCGATAGAGCTTGTTTCAACTTTCGGATCTTTGCTTCAATCCAGCATACATGCTCCATCAGTATTTCCGCGCTTTGTCTTTGAAGTGGCTCGGTTTTACGTTTAACTATTTTTTTCTGACCACTTTTCGCCTTCAAGTATAAAAGGTGCTTCTTTAAGCTCATGTCATCACTTAGCTCCGCATTAGCCTGTTGTATCACCAAATGAAAGAGATAAGGTGTAACTCAAACGCTCAAGTTAAGTGGACAGGGGAAAGGAAATATGGAAGAAGATGCAAGAGCAATCAAATCTAAGATGCTACAGAAAAGAGGAGGGGCGGAGAGGAAGAGAAGAGACTTGATGAAAAACAAACAATAGTAGCACCGAAAATAATGCAGCTTCTACAAGTAATTGAAATGTCAAAGCAGCCAAATGAAGGCACAAGTCACAAACGATATATAACTGCAAACGTCAGCTATCTTATTCTTAACTGAGTCTTTCAACAGCAGTAACCTAGACCTTGAAATAAGACACGGCAAGGCTCTTAAACTTAAATCCCATTTTTTGGCAGCAAATTCATATCTAATGACAAGTTTGACAACTTACAATACTGGCTGCTACAGCTTAAAAGTATCAGGATCATGATTATTAGCAAAACATTCACTTTTAAAATTTCCAGCCTTTTAGTTTCCCAGAGACTGCACAGTGGTAATATCGAAAGCATGAAAAACCCAACAATTTCAGGAACTTAAACAGGCGAGTCTTCCTCAGATACTTTCAGTGTTCTATACTTTTGGGGTTCTATATATGTAATACAGGCTCCTCAGAAAAACAGCAAAATGTTCTAGTTCTATAACTGTATGTGTAAACGTGTAATGCCGTCTATCATTAAGTATGTAGTTTCATGACCTTGTTCAGTAATAGATTGAAGTAGAAGTCAATATATAAGACAAGCATTAACAAAAGTAGGTAGCTTGTTTCCAATACCTATACTATACATTACAGAACATAATAATGATAGGACCATATAGTCCATTAAAAAAGATGAAAATATGATCATACTTGTATGTCAGAATTACAACATGAACGATGATGTCTAGTTTTTGAAAAGTTGCTAAGGCATTTATATCCATGAAATCCCAAGTGCAAGATGCTGCCACTTCTAGCATGCTACTGGTTCGGAGAAAAAACAAAGAGAAAAAAATGCAATGGTTAAAAACATTACCTTGGTACAACCAAGAGAGGATTTCATCAATTTCTGTTTCTTTGAAGGGCTGAGCAAAGACGTTAGATTAGCTTTCCAGCTGACTTTCTTCAATCGTTTCTTCTTATGGCTTAAAATGGGTGTGGAGGAGCTCTTAGAAACAACCTCAGTTGTTTTACCAATTTCTGTATCAGATTTCTTGGGAGACTGGTCCAAAGCTCTTTCTCTCTGCCAAACAAACAAAATTTAGGCGAATCAGTTTCTGCGACAAACAAATAATAATGACTAGACAGGTATAGGCTACATTATCAAAATGAATAATATAATGGTAAAATAAGAAAGAAAGAGCAGCGTATATCTGAAAATATATGACACAATCAAATTTAATCATGAACCCTCCCCTTCCCCCTCCAAAAAACATCTAGAGGTAGCAATGCTGCCAATATCATACTAAAAGACACTCAGAAAAGAGTAAGCCTAAATGATCCAAGAAAACGAGCAAGAGCAGAAGCCCACAGCAAGATAGATTTAAAGAATATTTACTACCTTTTTATTCTTTAGAGCCATGTAGCGTGCATTTTTGAACCACTTGTTCACCTGTTCATAACCCAAATAGATCAGTAGTTACAAAGTGACCAGAAAATGCCAATGGTTTCAATTAGCAGGGATGTAAGGAGTGAGGAGCATGAAAATTTGAGCCTAAATATATGTTACTCCCTCATTTACATAGACCACATTAATCTTTGGGGGCCAAAAAAAATAAAAATAAATCAACAACCTTAACACTAAATGATCCAGTATATGTACACGTGATAATATTGAAACATTGATGCTAAATTTAACATGAAATATACTATCCTTATTCCTTAGAGCAGTGCTTCGTACAAATCCAGTAAATATAGTTATGAATGTTTATGGTTAAATTTGGATGGATAAATGAGAAGATTGGTAGCAAGATAGATGGAGTAATTGTTAACATTTGAATATACAATGCAACAACTAAGAGTTAAGACTCGATTCTTTTCCTCATCGAGGGTAATAGTTCTTTGTACCTTTGCATACTCAAGACCCACCAGCTCTGATAAATTTTTCTTAACATCTCTGGATGGAAGCTCATTCTCAGAAAATGCCTGACGAAGTTTCTGAAACATCAAACAGAATCAGGACACTGACGCAAATCAAGGACACCATGTTTCTTGTATATGTCTCCATGATGTTTATATTGTCTCTAGGTTATTGCCAGGAGGAAGGGAGAAGATGAAGGAACCAATACCTGCACGGCGTCACTAGGAATCCTTGAGAGAGGCTTTTTAACTTTTCCAAATGGAAGGTGATTGTTACCCACTTCCAGATTTTGCAGATCTGGATGTTTAGCTTCACTTTCACACAAAGTCATAAGGGTACTAGCAACATCACTCTCCTTTTCCCTCCGCCTTCTTTTAGAAGGGCCCCAATCTTCATCTTCGCTTACCATATCACATGTAGTAGCATCCTTCCCAAACATTTCCTGCAAGCAGGAGAAAGGTTATGGTCGTATAACTGAATCATTTGTTCATTTTGTTAACCCCAAAAGGGGAATAAAAAAACGGTGACGCAATCTTGCACACATCATGACTTACACAAAGGATCATGACTAACTTATATCCATTAATTAACTAACTTAAATCCATTTTATAGTATTTATATTAATAACATCAACTATTAAACAAGTGATAAGTGTTTTACAAAGTCCCATGGCCTACCTTGGCCCCTCAAAACTTATTGGTGCTTGAGATTGCACAACTTATCCCCCCTCTCCCAATATCTTGTTCTTCTAATTCCATGATTTTCAGTTATTATAACTTAACTAATAAGAGGGCGTTGTAATTAGAGTAAAAACATCACAGTTGTCATATCCAAATTTTCCAATTAGCATCTAGAGTGAGCTGTATTTTAGAAAGGCAGGGAACTCAAAATCAAGATAAAATAACATATCCTAGGTAGATGTAGCCAAACTTCTGATTTCATCTTCATTATAATTAGCAAACAGTGCTTTTAAATTTTAAACCTTGAACAATGGAATTTAGAACTACTTACATCATAGAGCTTTATATAATCCACAGCACATCGCTTTCTGGGACCACTAGTACATTCATTTTCATTAGATACTGTAGCACATTTTTGATGCAACGAAGCAATATCGCTGAATACTCCATCTCTTCCAGAGAATCCAGATTCTGAGAGAACTTCACTCTCTAATGAACAACAAGAGCTGCTAGTACTGGTTTTCTCATGTGAATCACTATCCTCAATGCCACACCAATTACTGGTATCATTTTCATCCCTGTCTGGATTATAATCATTATCATCGGACTCATCATCAGGCCACTCTTCTTCAGGGTGTAAATCTCTGGTCCCGACACTAGATAAATTTGCTTCTTCTTTAAAAATATCCTACATTAACCCCACTAGGAATTATGTCTCATATGTGCTAACATGAGCCAAAGACCAACACGAAATCAAAGCCTTCTGCAATTACCAACCTGCCAAGTGCTATCAGCAGAGAATTGAGTTCCAAGATGCGCATTTGTTGCTTCTAATATTTCCATCTTAGAATCACAATATTTACAAAACCAGCCTTCGTCTTCAGGAGGAACTTCAAAGGTGAAAGCAAAAAAAAATCCATGGCATAAGTTCACACAAAATAGCTAGTCAAATTCCAAGCAATGGACACAGAGCTTACTATCTATTGTCGCCAAAGGGGGATCAATGCATTTTTGATGAAAAGCACAATTGCAGGTGCCATCACATAATATTATATCATTATCCTCTGAAACATCCTGAGATTTGCACTTTTTGCAGAAAATCTACAAGCAATAATCCAAAAAATTTTAATCTAAAATTTAGACACAAGAGATAGCCTGCTGAAGAAGAATATAGAAACAAATCATCACGAAAACAAGAATAAATAGCATGAAGCTTTCATCCTCCAGGTCAATGAAGATCAGGAAAAAATTTATATATCCTAGCAATGAAGATCAGAGAGTCAGAGATAGCACCCTTAATGTCCTTCGACAAATAAAAATTTCATGAATTGTAACAGAGATTTAATGACAGTAGATGGCTTCTGCTTTTTAATTGTTTTTTTTTATAGGTCAACTCATCTAGAAACATGGTAATTGCCAACAAAGTAAGATAGACGTGCATACTTACATGTTCATGATGGACAGAACCATCTGGAGAAATCAAAGAATCATCAATCTTCCCAACAGAGGCAAGTAAATCCAACTGGTGAATTGTATCCCGAATTCCAAGCTTACATTTCAGTATCTGATTCATGGCTCTCTGTAACTCCTTTTCTGGCTTAATCTTTTCTCGACTGTTAACAAACAGAAGAAATATGTTAATTATGCTATAGATTTTTAACATTATTAATATGATAAAGAAAAGGACGGAGAAGTAGGGGTGAATGACGGTTTTGCACCCTTCAAATTGAAACGAAGATGATGAATTAGTGATCACTCCACATCTATCAAACGGAAATCAGTGTCCAAAAATATAAATGGTAAAATAAGCATCATAATTCAAGATCACTCAAAATATAAGAGGGAACTGACACCTCCAATACATAAGCTAGATAAGCAATAATTTCAACTCCAGAAGAACCAAAAAAAAGCTTCAACAACCTCAGTGACGCATATACAGTATTTATCATCCATCATGAGCAATCTGAATTGGCGGGAATCAGGAAAATTAAGGCTAAGTGTTTCACTACCCAACTTGTCACCCATTATCCGCAGAATCTATATGTAAAGAACAGGAACTGGGGAGCTTTAAATTACAGTCTCCGCATCAACCATAAGGTTCCTGTGGTAAAATTAGGTCTCTAAGATATGGCTATGGATGTACACCTACATAATGATATCCTAAATCTTTTCCCATTTGCAAACTAAAAGTTTGCATTAATACAAACAACACCCTTATGGACTCACTTTGTATCATTTCATAGTTCATACCATCTTACCATGATAACTTTTTTTATTAGTATAGGCTGTTCTAACAATATATAATAGAAAAACATTGTGCAATGACAAAATAACATTCCAAATACAATAGTAATACTTAAAAAGGGTCCCATATACCTCAAATCTAACAAGGAAATGTATCAAGTGTGGAAGTGCAAGGAACAAAAGATGGCCTAAAAAAAGTAATAAAAATTATCAAACAAATATGCATCTATTTCTTAAACAACACTATGGAACATTTACCAGCCTCTCTATTCCAAGTTGCCTCTTCTATGTACAAGAATTTGAGTATCCAACAGTGCAATTAGCAGATTTGAAAACTATGATGTCAATACTCACTGAGCCGTAAGGTATCAACTCCAACTGAAGAATATGATGATATATATATATATATATATATATATGAAAGAAACAGAGTTACACAGTAAACCTAATAGAAAATTTAAGAAGGAGATTCAATCAAACAGGCACAAATATCAAATATCCTCCAGAAACATCGAGTGCTCCTCCGATTAATTCTCAGATTTAAGAAGTACATCATTTGACTAAATAGGAGAAGACACTTCTAGACTACATCTTAGCAAGAGATAGCACGGTTAAATTCTAGTATACCTAGAATAACTGAAAGGACCAACACAAAGATGAGCTTTCTTGTTTGGCCACCAAGAGAAAAAATTCACAGCAAAAAGTCCAACTTTCAATAAACCCTGAATGTAACTATGCTAAAACCTAATGTGTCGATCCTCTATTACCATCCATAAAATTCTACAACAGATAACATAGGCATGCTTAGATGTTGTGACACCTATCTTAAGTGTTTACAAGAAGAGAAAGAAGAGATGCCAGAAAGTTAAATTTGGTTTGTTAAACTCAATTAGACTACCATGTTAACTGACAGGCAATGGCATGCAACACTAAGCACGCTACAAGTCTACAGCTTACAGGAAACTAACTGTGTTAGCTGCTATTGATTGTTCATCATGCTCCAGAAAGCAGGTTCAAGGGTCGCAATTCATGATGCTTTATGCCTCACCATAATTGATTATAAAGCAAAATACATGCACAGAAATTAATAGATCCAGATTTTCTGCAAGATGGTTTGAGTTTCTTCAATCACAGAACTAAATGTTCAAAAAGTAAGATGCTTCCGGTACCTCTGACCTTTCCAACCTTCTCCCGCATAAGCATCAATGAGACTTTGTTCTAGCTTCATTTTAACCAAAAGGTATCTAGCTCTTCTCTGCAGTTGTGCAGCTTTATCTGGAACAACCTTATCTTTCTTTCTCTTCTGTTTTCTCAATCTCTTTAAACTTACACTTTGCAAACCCCCACTGTCCTTTTTACCTTTAGAACTTGAGCAAAAAGATCGATCACCCCGACTCTCTTCACGATACTTCTTCTTAGAAGAATCAACTCGATGGCCTTTGGAAACATCAGATTTATGAATCAATCTCCTTCTGGCGGATTCAGCCTTCTTTTTCTGATCTGATTGCTTCAGCAGCTGCTTGCCAGGGCTCACTACCAAAGAAGAGAATTCTAATTTTTTTTTCTTATTGAGCTTCTTAAGCACCCCATTTCGCATTTGCGCCAACGTTTTCATCTTCAGCTTAGATTTAACAGATTTAGGATACAGGTCTAATTCTAAAAGGCACAATTTTCCTCCACCTCCAAGCTTAACATTCCCAATTACAAAGGAACTGCAAATGCAACAATATCGTCATGAATAAACAAGCCTAATTAAATCAACTTTCCAAAGTAATTCATTCAGTTTGACCTCCATTAAATACATCATAACCAAATATCTCAGGAAATGTCAAAATTGTTTTGGGCAAACAAAATTTAGTTGCCAGTTGCAGGCTTTATATACTGCTATCAGATAACTTACTATAATGTAAAAATGCAAATTAGATCCTACACGCGAGAGCATGATGCGCATCTTTTCTTGTATTCCAATTGTCTAAAGAACATACAGTTGCAAGGATTTGAAAAAGAATTAACTCCACTAACTTCCACAAAAATCACAATATAACATTTAGCAGAAAGACTGATAGTATACCCATCTAACTAATAACCCAAACAATTAATCTGAAAATTTTGCAAGATTATAAAAAACTGGATTTTTCTTCAATTTCCTTAAAACCCAAATCAGAAAAAAAAAAATTATATGCAATGCATAATAATCTCCATTTTCAAGAAGGTGAAAGATCATATACATAATTTAATGCTCAAAATTTCCAATCAATATAATATAATTATCAACGAATTCTTCAGAAAAATAGCATACCTGAAATCATGAGTAGAAATTTGGTTGGAACCTTACCAACCTTGAATTTTAATTCCTTTTTTCTGAAGCATGTCAAATTCTGCGACACAAAGAATGGAAAATGAGCTCTAAATTTTTAAAATTTAGAACCCTCAATATTTAAAAAATTATTTTATGAAACATAGTTTAATAAGTATTTCTATTAATCTTACTCTAAAATGTACACTTATAAATTTTCACTCAATTTCTCCTTTGTTGAAGCAGTTCTCTTTACCCTTCTCCTCAACCGCAAGCATGAATCTTTGACTTTTAACAAATTTAAAATTGGGGTGATTTGGTTTTACTTTAAAATTCGTTTTCCTGAAGAAGTAAATCCGAAACTCGACGACCCGAATAGAAACTTCAGGTGACCGGATTACGAATTTTGATCCCGGGTTGGTAAGGTAATTATAGGAAAACGTTGAAATATATACAGATTTTAAGTCGCCATGTAAAATACAGAGTAAATTCATCGAATGACAATTGGTGTGTGACTTGGTCACTCATTTTAAAATTAATACAAATTCATAAAATATATCAAGTGTTTATTTGGTTAAATGAATATAAGAAGTACAAATTCATTGGAAATTTATATTTCCTTGAAAATGTTAAATATATTTATGTATTTGGTTAGTCATAAGAAGTGAATATTCTTGAAGGAAGTTCCACCTATGACCTACCTAAGGCCCCTTAGGTAAATTCATTTTGCGAAAAATAGAATTGACCATGAATTTGTACTTCCTATAAATTAGTCAACCAAACACCACAAGAATTTTAAGTTCCATTGTTTTTTATGTCAAACATTACACTTAAGTATATCATGACCTTATTTGAAGTTATTTTTCTTCATAAGTTTTAAGAGTTAATAAAGGCTACCTTGAACTTTAATTTACAACTAATATGAACTTTAAAAGAGAAAATCAAATGAATAAAATGCACCATAATTAATGTCAACAAACACAAGATTGAATCTAATTTACATAGTATTAACATATTCCCAAATGAATAAAATTGTTAAATAAAGAATAATTAAAATATTATGGACAAATTTGAATGTATATTTTATGCTATGAAAAAAAAATTCTTTATTTTGTCAAAAATGAAAAATGTTCTTTATTTTTTCTTTATTTTGTCATCAATGAAAAAAGTTCTTACTTCGCTGTTATAATATGTAAATATGTTCATATTATTTGAACTGAATAATGTCAAGTTTTGTACAACGTTTACATAGTTTTTGAGTTATATACATCTTGCATCCGATCTCAAGCCAAGGACATAATTTTCAGCAATCGCACCTATTGAATATCAATCAAGTTGATTTATCAAGCTTAGGATCTTGTTGCATAAAACTAGCACAATAATGGTCGACAAGTACGATGTATATATTATTTTCATACGGAGTAGATGTTTTTCTCTGCTTCATCTCTCACGTCCACTTTCTGTACTTCCACTGAATCAGAGTCCACCGTGATCTTTAAGTTTATTATACAACCAGTCAACCACCGAGGAAATCATCTGTTTGTTCCTCCATGAAAGTACCTTGGTAGGGAAATCAACAAACAGCTAAGACAAGGCATATCGAACAGGAAAAACTCGAGCAAAAGCAATGGATTGATTGTTCAGTCTCTAGCTCAATCATTTTATGGGGACTCAAATGCTAATGTTGTGAGATTTATACTCTCGTGAACAGGCTAAAGGAGGGAACTTTCTGTGAAATTACAGAAAGGTTGTTAAAAGTTCATTTCATGCAGGATCACCAAATTACACTTCATCTTCCAAAAATTTCCGACTCGTCAAAACCAGGATGTAATTGTAATCTTAAAGTGACAACAGCATGAAAAATGAACCAATGGAATATATATTCTCAACTCAATCCCTTGAGAGGATAATATTGTTTAATTTTCCTTTGTTGACCAACATTGGCTTTGTTCACATACATAAGAGAATGTACAGGTTAGTGCAATACACAAAATTGTTTGTTCTTCTCAGTTCCAGGATCCTTGACTGTAGACTGCTACAAGAAATTGGCTTACTTCATTGAACCTGAAAAATGTGACCAACTACTCAACTAGCACTTCAATCTGTAACGAAAGTTTAAAAAAAATGCCTAGTCATTAAATGTAGCAGCGATAGAATTTTCAGTATCATAGTTATATATGAAGACTGGTTAAAGCACTAAACAGATAGAAAGGAAAATGGGGACTTACCTACAGCGTTTCACAGATGTTGTGCTCTCCAATCAACTGCAAAGCTCTTATCATCTTCATCTTCGTCTTCACTTGACGAGCTATCTTGTTTAGCCTTTGATCCTGGATCTTCAGACACCTTACCAGCTCTGGAAGATCTAGCAGCTAGAAGTTCCATTTTCTTTCTCTTTAGCTCCTCCACTTTGTTCCTGTAGGTCCTGAGAAGGGGAAGGGGTGGAGAAACACAGTTATACATTTATTTGAAATCAGTCAGAAGTCTTGTAATTTTGTAAATAGTTCAGCAATTCAGCTTACTTTTGCTCTACAATTTCTTCCTCCTCTATCTGCTCAGCTGCGTCAATCTGTAACAAAATATAATGCAAACAAGGCATGAGTGTCAAGCCATACTTCATCAAAATTATCTTTCATGAGCCATGACAAGAACCCAATTAAACCAACACACAAGAATGCAATCTCATTCAAAAATAAAACTAAGCCCTGCCAAAAAATTTGGTAGGTTGTATCAAATTGCAGTCATGGAATGTAAATGAAATCAAATTCTGCAAGGTAAGTATCACGCTAAAGTCACTGTAAAGTCGGTAACACAACCCCTCAAGTATTTCATGAGTGCCGACATAGGATTTTACTTGAAACTCACAAAATAAAAAAAAAAGGGAAAAAAAAAAAAAAAAAAAATATATATATATATATATATATATATATATATATATATATATATATATATATATATATATATATTCATTCATATTGCCCTCATTTATTACCCTTTAGCCTTTACCAAACAAGCTGTGAAAGAATAGATACATTGTTATCAAAAGACTGAGAGAGTAATGTTTCTTTATTCAAGGGAACAGGCAAGATCTCACCTCTTCTTCTTCAAAGCGGTTGTCCACCTCTGCCAAGTCCTCTTGGATCAACTTTTCAAATTCCTTGTACTCATCTCTGACAAAGATCAACAAATATATCATCATCCAAAGCCATAATTAGTATAATAAAAATGTGGCAACCTTCTAATTACCTACTGAACAAATAAGATTAAATCCTAATGCACATCAGAGGTTCTCAGATTCATTTTAAACACATTGAGTTGATGTCATTCACAAATCCCACAGCAATAGGAAAAGGAAATATATTATGAATCAATAATATCAAAGAAATAGAGAATTAATTCAATCATACACGCACAACCCCAAAATACTTGAAGCCTAGCAGTTATAATCAGACTCCAGTAAATAAAATCAAAATCAGACCCACAGAAAACTTCACAAGATCATGAATGGTCAGGTCACATGAAACTACCTTCTATATACAGTATGCTATCGCAGCTTGTCTGAAAATAATACTCACCAACACAGATGAGATGTTTAAGCCTCCTTTTAACAAATAGAGAAAAAAAAAATACCTCGGTAGATTGGCCAATTTCAAAGGTCCAGTATATAATGTAGGCAAAGTTCTACAGGAAATTGGTCAGCCTGCTTAGTGATTTCACCAATGGCTTTTGAAGTCTAGCACTAGAAAAGAAAAAGTTCTCAACACATTCCCCTCTCCAAGAAAAAAGATGGATGTACTTAAGGTAATTTGAGACCAAAGGTACCAATTAAGCAGCTTAAGCAAAAAGAGGTCAGTCTTAGGTCCATGGTTTTTAGCTGGACCAGCAGCAAGTGCAAGTGTAACATCAGAAGTTATGGTGCAAGATTAGTATATTAGTACAAAGAAAACATAGTTGGGCCAAGTTGATGAAAGGATGAATGCAAAGCAACACTAAAAAAATAGAGAGAACAAAGGACGTTGTTGTTGCTCTTCCTCGCCAATGAGACAAAAGCACAAACCAGAGGAGGAAAAGACATTGTTCCAATGTTAAATGTTAAAGTCGACCATAAGATTGCCTTCCTTATCCTAGATAATTCTTCCTAACACCTACAGGCATCAAAACAAAGGCAAAACTAAAGGACACTAAAAGCAATGTTTGACCTCAGGTTTATTGTTATCTGATGCTTATTTTCATATCAGGACTCCTAATATCAGGGCAATAAATTCAAACCTCAGAACAAAATCCTAATCAATCATTAGCACATCAAAATTCCTTACTACTATAGCACATCTTTTCTGCACATAACTTTCATAGGATGATTATACATGCATTTGAACTGTGAAGATTAGGGAAGTCAGATAGCATATCCACCGCTCTCCAAGAGCATAAACATAATCTTGGTATGATAGTCATTTTAAAACCTGTTTTCATACTACAAAAGACGCACGGGGGGGGGGGGGGGGGGGGGAGGTGGTGCATTTGTGCTTTGATATGTGTTTGCTCTACATTAACCTACAGTAGATCTTTTCTTCTTCACATGTTTATACTTAATTTACAGTAGTTTTTTGTTGTTACAGAAGTATGCTACTGTAAAGCCCAGTTGATTTTGTTTATGTTTTGACTCTTTGACCCTCAGATACTGGAACTGCCGCGCTGAAACACTAATTTTAGAAGCATTTCTGAAAATCAACAACCCAAAAAAAAAAACAAAAAAAAAAAAAAAACTTGACCAGTATGTGA